TAAGAAAATTATGAAGAGAAGCTTTGAAATTCGAACTTTTAAACACAAAATTTTCTTGCTTTGGAATGTTTTAATTTTCAAATAATTTTCGACTTGAAACTCGTTGATATAAACTTCAAATTTTAATCCCTCGAAATTGGGAATCTTTTTTATCCAAAAACGAGTTAAACCCGTTCAAATAAAATAATAAAAATTTCAAGATTCAGACCTGTACTAATTACCTGCTTAAACTTCCTCTATTTCATCCCAGAGAATACACAGGGAGACTAGAAACCGTTCGATATCCAAAATAACCGTACAACAATCAACCGAACAGTGAACGCATCGGAGAACAAACTACACGATCCTCCAGTTCACAAGCTCATCGGCCTCAAAAGCGAGTCCAATTTCCTCCCCAACAAAGGAAACGAATCAAAGCGATCGAGGAGCATTAGCTGGCTACATATCACCGCCGTTAAACCCCTCACAAACCAAAACGTGAAATGCTTTCGTGTGGGCGTGACGCGTGCTCGGTTAAAAGCACACACGGAGGAGCCCTCAGCGCGTGAGTTAGATGGGCGAAAAACCGGAAGCGGTGGTCTAAGATACATATAATCCACCCCAGTGGCCAGCTTCTCTCTCTCTCTCTCTATGTTTTAAGTCTTTCTCCACAAGGAGGAATCTTTGGGCGTGGAATGTCGGGCCAGGGAATTTCGAAGAAGACGTTCTTGCACCTCTTCTTGCTCCTCCACTTCCGGTGTACGGTTTCCACGAGGAGGAACGAGAAAGTTGTAAGGGATCACGACGGTCTTTTGCTGTATTAACCACTTTGGGAAAGCAGTTGCTTTAAAATTCTCTCCTCTCTCTCTCTCTCTCTCGTCTCCTATTTTACATGCTTTCTCTCTCACCTTTTCGTTGTTGCAGCAGCGTGTGCCTCGTGCGCGTTAAAATTTCGTTTCCGCGCCCCGGGAACGCGTATAGTCGTAATTAAAATCCTGGCATACTTTCTGCGTTTCCATTAAAGTTCCTGGAAAATTTGTTCCCCGCCGACGCCACCGTGGACAGGGCTGAGCGGGGTATTACGTGTAATTATTATTGCACGAGGATGTGCTCGGGGGAGAGAACGTTACACCGGTTGCAAGCGGTGATTTATCGGATTTAGTCGCCGTTTGTTTGATCGTCACTTGCGGTCTGACATTTTTTCGAGGGTGAACTTCTTTCTTTGGGATGGATTTGACAGTGTAGATTCAGTGGGAGAATTTGAAGTTTCTTGCGAGTGGGACTGGCTAGTAGAAGTTCTTTTTCTTTTACGAAGATATTTGAGGTAAATTCGACGATGGAATTGTGAACAAATTGGTCAATTTTTAACTGGAAATCGAGTTAAGAAGTTATTCTTTTACGAATATATTTGACGTAAATTAAATTCAATGATGTTCCAGGGAACAGCTCAAAGGAATTCAGGGTTTATGGAATAATATTTTTGAAAATTCGTTTTCTTTATCATTGTAAAGGGACGACGTAAGAGAAGAACCATATTTCTCATCGACAGTTGTAAATTCAGTCGGGACAATAAAGTTCTCGCATCTTAATTGGAACCGCCAAAAGAGATGAATTTCTCAATTGGACAGCAAACCTGTACCGTCACCTCGAGTGTAAGCGGGATTTACGACCTCGCGAAATTCTTCGAAAGAATTGCGGTCCACGGGAAGCTACAACAGCCCTTGCACATTCCCAAATTTCGTTTAAAGCTTAATCACTCCGATCAATTTCTCCTAATTATTTCCCCAGTACAATACAATTTCCACACACTTTTTCCACAGGAAGTTGCGCGTCAGAGCAGCACAATAGTGTCTTGGCGAGCAACGTAGAGATTTCAGGGCGATAAAGCCTCGCATTGTCCTTGCAACGGTGACGGAGGGTAGGTAGAACGATAATGGCCGATAAACGCGGATAGGATATAGATTTTACGATGTTACCGGTCGATGAACACCGCGATATCGATCCTCGATTGTCCCCGCATAATTAACTGATAATTACCTCAAGATATCCGGCGAGTCGAGCGCAAGAAACTCGCGTTGCAGCCAGTACGTCATGTGCCAGTCGTCGGACGATTCAATTCCGCAGCATTGCATCTCGATTTGCATCTTATCTATCCTCTTCTTCCACGTCGCGTCCGTCAAATATCTCTTCATGCCTGTTTAACAGAATTTTGAAAAAGAGAGGAAAATTACTACGGTGAAATTCGACGAAATTACGAAGACGTTAAGGAAACAGGGTAAAGTTGTAGATACTAAAGCACTTGGAATCTGCTTTTCGCAGCTTTTAATCCTGAGTTATCGAATTTTTATTTCTACCACTCTGCGGCAAATACCGGGCTTTAACTCCACTAAAGTTTCATTTCCTCTGCTTTGCCAAATTTTTGAATTTTAATTCGCCGAATTTCAAGCCTGGATAAATTTTTAATTTCAATTTGCCACGTTTTCAGCGTAACAGAATTTTACACTTTTATCTACCCCGCAGTTTAATTTCCTCATTTTTCTTACGCGTTCCCAGATTTTCACTCGGTTTCATATCGTTTTCTTGCGTATGCAAACTGCAAGTTTTGTGGAAATTTTTGGTCAAATTGCAATTTTCAATTACAAATGTATAATTAAGTGTTCATAAAAATTTATATGCTTCTAAGAAAATTACGTTAATTCGTCACATTTTAGTTCGGTAATTAATTAACTTCTACTTCTTCATTTTGTCCCTTGAAAAAGCAGGAATAAATGGTCCTTTTATCCACCACACTTTAATTGCCCCATTTTTCTTCTACATTTCCAGCTTTTCACTCATTTTCGTATCATTTTCTTATGTACGCAAACTACAATTTTTATACAAATTTATGTTCAAACTATAACTTTCAATTAAAAATGTATTAGAAAATATTG